AGCAAAGATGTCAGCTTGAGGACTAAGGTGCGCCTGACCCAAGCCATGGTATTTTCAATAATCTCATATGCATGCGAAAGCTGGACAGTGAATAAGGAAGACCGTGGAAGAATTGATGTTTTTGAGTTATGGTGTTGGAGGATAATATTGAAAGTGCCATGGGCTGCCAAAAGAACCAATAGATGTGTTTTGGAAGACGTGCAGCCAGAGTGCTCCTTGGAGGCCAAGATGGCCAAATCTCATCTCTCATACTTCAGACAGATTGTCAGGATATCGTGTTTGGTAAGGTGGAGGGTCAGAGAAAAAGCGGAAGACCCCCAATGAGATGGATTGGCCAAATGGCAGCATAGATCGACTCGAGTGTGGCAACAGTAGTGAGGTTGGCCCAGGATCAGGCAGTGTTTCGTTCTGCTGTGCATAATGTTGCTATGGGTCCGTACCAACTCGATGGCACCTAACAATAAAAAATAACAACTCAAAATACAGTCTAGGTTAAAGTGAATAGAGATAAATACTCTTGACTGTTGGTACACGGAGGGGATTGTAATCATGTAATGAGGCAAAGTATGACTTGGTTGAATGTAAATTGATGATCTGCTCTTTTTTTAAAAAGTTAAAAAAAAAATGATCAGAATAGTAAATTATTGCGGTAACAGCTGTCTAACTAGTAACATGCCCTTAAATGGATCTTTTAAGAAAAAACAACAAAACTTTTTGTTGTGAATTAAGTGAAGGTTTAAAAAATGATGATCAGTTTTACATTCAGCAGAGTCTTCAGTTTGTTTCCTTCCCATGAGAACAGCCTCCTCCGTGCAGCAACAGTGGCTCCTTTTCCTTCCACCCGCCTTCCTGTTCCTTCCTAACGTTTTCCTTTTAGATTTGGTGGGCTGGGGATTCCCTGGTGAGCATGCCTCATTCCCGCTGTTGTGCCCCTGTATACCTCTCTACTGCTTGGCTGAAAGTTGGACCACGAGGGTGAGTTCCTATCCGTACCTGAAGGTGGTCAAGGGCCTTACTTTTGGCTTCCTCCAGTCTCTTACTGACCTGGTCTATTTTAAGACTTTTGAGTCTTGTTGCACATTTTCTCCCATTCTTCCCAGGACATTCTAATGGGATCCCTTTCAGAGCTTTTGGTAGCAGTAGCTGGGCACCATCTACTTCTTGTGGTCTCAGTCATGGAGAACGATGTTCACCAACTCCACTGGACCACTAGACTAGTTATTTCTAAGCATCTTCAAGTCTCACCCCTCTTCTTTTTTCTGCACATGGAGAAACCAATAGTTGTACCTTTGATGGCTGCCCATGAGCATTTACTATCCATTCGCTACTCACCAAAGGAGAATGCAGAACATTGTCTTTGTGGGCTGTGTTGTGCCAACTGACCATGGTGTCCCCTGAGACTAAGGTCCTAAGCCCCAGGCCCAGGAACTCATTGTCTTAAGATGTTTGATAATATTTAAGAAGTTTTCATCATTTTGTCCTCTGTATGCTCCACCATGGAGTCCTGGTGTGGCGCTGTGGGTTAATGCGCTGGACTGCAAAGTTGGTTTAAACCACAAGGTCGGCGGTTCAAGCTCACCAGTCAGTCGCTCCTTGAAAACTCTATACAGGGTCGCTATGGGTTGGAACCGACTTGACAGCACTTAACAACAATGAGAATGCTCCACCACATTCATACGTGTGTTTGCAGGTATAAAACTCCTCATTCAGACTCTTGTGGGTTTCATAGTATATTTCCACTCCTCCTCCCATACCTGTCCAGCCTGGGTCTCTGTCTGTCCACGTATCCACACACAGAGCACCATTGTTCCAAGGTTGCATAAATAACATTGTTTACCTCTATGCCCTTCACCCTTCCATACCTCCTGTGTCTTCACCTGTCTTCGTCATTATTCTGCCAGCCTCCCTCTTGTACTGTGCTCCCTGTCACCTGAGCTGCCCTCTCGTCTGGTCTCCTCAGTGAATTGTCTGGACTTTACTCCCTCCCATCAGAATCCTTCTTTTAGCATGAGAACTTTGTCTTGAGTGTTTGCTGTGATGCATCTGCTGTATGTTGTTGATTTGTTGATAGGTGTCATGGAGTCGCATCTGACTGCCCATTCAGCCTGTGTCCTTGTCACTCAGACACAGAGCATCAAATACACCTGCCGACCCCAATTCTGTTGTTACCGTGTAGCACCAAGGATGTGTGTTCAGATCTCTCAGCCCAGAGAGTCCGGAGGAAATGGAGAGTCCGAAAGCTCAGCGGTGATCTTGAACCCGCTGACCCTTCACTTGCTGGGCCTTTTCTGCACTGTGATCTTTGTGAGTCCGGAAGCATTGGGACCTCCACCCCCCGAGCAGCCGACCCCTGAAACTGCAGTTGTTCCGTGGGGGGGCTGGGGGTGGGAGCATCGTAGTTTCAGACAGTTTCCAAAACAGACTTCAGTTTATCTTACTGAAGAAGAGTAAGGTTATAGCATTTTCTAAAATACTGATGACTAAAATAAGGTGACTATTTTCTAAAATTGTTGATGTGCCTCTTTCTAGAATAGTGTTGTCGATGTGGCCTGCCACTGAGAGCACAATGTAACAAGGTGCTCAGCCGAACACCCATGTGCCAACACCAGGGGGCAGAGATGGAATGAAAAAAGCCATGGAATTTTCCAACTTTCTGAAACCGCATCATATACTTTGTTGTGGCTTTCCATCTAGCCAGTTCCTATTCATAGCGACCCTGTATAGGGTTTCCGAGGAGCAGCTGTGGGTTTGAACCGCCAGCCTTGCAGTTCTCAGTCCAGTGAGAAGATGGTTTAAAGGTCCATCCCTTCCCTACTCACTGAGGAAATCCGCACCCTGACAATGACCTTGGATTCCCGTTTCACTGACTCTGATGACATTACGCTCCGGGCCTGTGACATAATATATGCCGCACAGACAGCTCTGGACGGCAAAAAGACACCCACTCAAGTCTCATTAAACGTTTATTGTTTTATTTCAATGTTTCAATATTCAAGAACGGTGTCCACTTGCCATGAAAACCAGTGTGTTGGGACGTGGCTGTGAATCGCAAACATGCGACCACCAGCCCAGCTTAAAGACGCTGAGAGCTTGTGTTTGACAGTCTCCAGGGTGGTTTCTGAAATTTAGTTCCCTTTTAGTTTCCCTTGTCATCATGGAGATGACCTATGAAAAGGCATGCTGTTAACCCTACACTAGGCACTCCGAGTTAGAATGGGTTAGAACAACGCTCTCTGAGGGACCTGCATGCCCGCGGGGGGGCGGGGCTCTTTGGGAGACCCATAGAAGACGCGCTCAACTCAAAAGTTTGGGGTCAGTATGTTAGCAGGTGCGATGGAAGGTCAGCTTGTGAGAACGCAGCGGGTCTAGGGCCGGCCCACTGCCAAGGTCAGTGGTTGGACAGGGCAGTAAGTGAGGGGAGGCTCTGGGGGGGTGGACCAGCTTCTCTTCTCTGAGGGTTAGTCAGACCATGTGCACCACAACTATACACACTCTGGCCCCTCGCGGCTTAAACGGGGGGGCCAGGCAAACGTTGCCAACTAGGAACCGAGCATCTCCACCGCAGACAACTCCTGCTCGGCGCTCCTTCGGACGCAGGGCTGGCCGATGGGCCCCAACGACACCACCGTCTCCCCCCCCCCTCCGCCCGCAGAGCCCGCTGCCCATCGGAGGCCGTCACCAGCCGGAGCTGGACATCCCCTTCCTCTCTCTGCCACGCTCGCTTTCCTCAGACAGGGTGTGGTGAGCGGGTCCAGCTCTCTCGCTGCACCACACGGAACTCTACCAGCCACCCGGGCCACCTTCACATACCAAAACTCCACTAGGAAGCTGCTCCCTGACTGCCCGATCCTGTTAAGGGGACCTAGTGTGGAGGGGATCAGAGCAGGCAGGAAAAGAAAACAAAAGCCAATGGGATCGGCAGTCCTCGCCACCCGCACAGGTCGGCTTCCTCTGTGGCCGTGTCCTTGATGGCGGCACCGGGAGCATGGGTCCCAGACCGCCGTCGGCACGAACACCAAGTCCAGGGGAGGGAGAGGGGGACGGGGACAGCGCGAGGCGCTGGGGAGACCGGCACGGGCATCTGGGCAGGGCGCAGTGGGGACTTGGGGCCATGCCCTGAGCTCAAGTCTCCAGTAGGATACGCAAGACGCAAGACGGGCTTTAGGGGACGTGAGCTCTAACTAGTGGCTTAGGCAGACGGATTACGGTTTAAGGCAGTTGTGTTAAGAAGCAGACGGCGCACAGGGTTCTGTAGTGGCCACGTTACAAGGGCTTCAGCGTCTCGTCATGGGTGATCCAGAACGGCTTCCTCCCTAGAGAAGGAAGAAAACCACAGTTAGGGGAGGGCCGGCCTGGTCCGCGCTGCTTCTCACTGCCACCGCCAGGGGGCGCGCTCAGTGGGTGTCGGTCCCCGGGATCCTGCAGCCGCTTTCCTGCTATCAGTACCTGCGGCCTGCCGTCCTGCCAGGGTCGGCTCACGGCCACCCCACGGGGGCCGACAGAACTGTGCCCACAGGGTTTTCAGTAGCTGGTTCTTCCCTAACAAGTCTGGGTGGACTCGTACTTTTCCAGCCCGGCGATGGGATTCGTTCAGTGGCCTGCACCTGTGTTTTCAGTGAGCACTTGCTTTGGCTGGAGAATCCAGGGGGTCCGAGGGAAACCGGAAAGGACGGTGTGGATTTTCCCTCCGGAGCCATGGTGGTGCGGATGGATACACTGGCTCCAGGGAGGAGACAGATGCGGCTCTCACGCCCACCACACCGAGACACTGGGGTTGATACAAACTTAGAGTTGGACCGATCGCAACAGCACACTTGAATATTTCAGAAACGACTTACCGTCTCTCCACCAGATGGAGACGGCACGCCAGTGCCCACTCGTGCAAAGCTAGTGTGGGCACTGACTCGCCAGAAGGCTGCACCAAGTGCCCTGTTTTCTACATTCTCGTCGGCACTCCACTCTTCAGTTGCTGGTTTTCTCCTCTGCTTCCCCAGGTGTGGATGCTGAATTGATGTCACCAGCGTGGCCCGATCACAGGACTGCTGATCAAGGGTCTAATTTCAATGCCCCCAACACTGGTCTTTGGCTCAGCTCTTCAAGGTTGATGTTACCACTCCTTGAATTTGCCGTGAATTGACACTTAGTCGAAGAGCAGCCCACGTTCTAATGTGTTTCAGACTGGACGGGCCTGGGTTCCCAGACACACGACTACGATCTACCATATTTGGTGGGTCTTCAGGGCCCATCTTTCCCGGATGCGGAATGGGCCCCCTCCCCCAACAGGGGGTTGTGCCACTTGGTGTTTCATGAACAATAATGTGAGCTGCTCTTTTCACTTGATCCCCACAAGGCTGTCTGTTCCGGCATGGTGTTGTGAGGGGCCCTGATGAACCACATGTACTTGTTTTGTGTGCGGTTCTCCAGTCTGGCGGATCCAGAAAGGGCACGTTTACTCCTGCCCCGTGGTTTTGTGGGTGTGCTCAGGATTCTTGCTCAGTGGCACATCAGGCTGGCAATGGCCACATTTTAAGGGAATCATGAGTTGCCCTGGGGTTCATTCCGGGTTTGAGGCCCATGAGGAGGACGGGGAGTCTCATCCACGTTGGCTATGTCAGTATCATGTAGTCACAGCTGGTGTGGCCTGGCCTGCTGCCCTGAGTGTGCAGCTGGACGTTCGCGTCCTGCAGACCTGTGCCAACAGCTCCCTGACCTCCAACAAAACCAAGTTCTAAGGGAGCCTCAACTCAGTCATCACAAATGTGAAGCCATCCACTTCCATAAGCACCTTCCAACTGGCTTAGCAGCCCGCAGCACCTCACAGGGTGATGGGCAGGAAACTTGGTCAGTAGCCGATGCTCACTGACTTCCTGGTCTGACCATCATTCCACAAGCATGTGGAAGGCAGCCTCGGGCATGTCTGCGTTTGGATCACCCCCGGGACCTTGCAGCTCGAGGACGCTGCTGTACTACGGCTCTGCTTGCATGTCCACTGCACGCTCCGGAAGTTCAGCCAAGGCCCACCCTCCCGCCTTCAGTGTCTAGGGCAGGGCTGTTGAAGGTTGTGAGGATCTGAGACCTTCTGGGCATGGTGGCCACTGTCTTTCTTGGCCACCCTCACTGTCCACCTCCTGCCTCTGAGAACCCACTGGGCCTACTGGGTCCCCACAGTGTTTGCCCAATGTCCCTGCTCAGTGAGACCCCCTGTCCATTCTCCCAGGCCATGAGTGGGTGGCAGGCTCGTGTCCCTGCCCTCTGCCTTGGTACCCTCCTTTCTCATCCTCCAACACTGCAAAATGTGGGCACCCTCTGAGAACAGATTACATTACCAGCTTGAAGAATTTGGACAGCGTGCTCTGGGTGTCGTGGGCGCCCTTGAACCCCTTGTGCGCTGAGGTGGATGCTCGGCCTCCATAGCCAAATCCCGGCTTCTGCCCCTCGGCTCCCTGCAAGCAAGGCACACTGCTCAGTGGCCCCGCGGCGATCCAGGCCCCTGGGACCAAGGCCACAGCAAAGGGCCAGCACCCCAGTGCTCTGTGGGGCTCAGGTCCTGTCACTGTCCATATGTCCACTGGCATTGGGTCCAAATGCATTTATTTTAAAGACAGCTGCTTACCTTCTTCAGACCCTGGGTTTTCCAGAGATGAGCAATTTGCCAAGCAAAGCCAGAGGCTTTCCACCTGAATGTTAGTGTACATTACAGGTGGTCTCTCCACAGGTGCATGGCAATCCCTAGGGGAGGAGTGGGGGTCTGCACTGAGAGAACACCCAGGTGGCTCTCTAGCCACCCTCAGGAGATCTGGAAGAGCTAACTAAGTCTTTGGACTCTGGGAAGGCTGTTCTTTGAACCATCGTGAAGCTCATCCCTCATCTGAATAAAAACAAAGCCCCGTACACTGTCCCAGGAGCTGGGCTCAGCCACGTGAGGGGAGGGAGAGGGCACCATGGACTAGAGGCTAACCTCGTCCACTCAGTCGAACACACCCTGAGTCTAGGGCCGCCAAATGTGGACCAGACGTGAAAGGCAACCCGTTAACGGGCTTGCTGCCAGGTCCACCGGACATGGGGCCGTCTGTCCAGACTAGCCCACCATACACACCACCTCTGGAGTTGCCTTGTTCTGCCTGCACTGCACTGACATAGACCACAAGAGACCAGACACCTCTTAGTGTGCCAATTCAGTTTCCAGGATGTTATCAAAGCAAGGAGTCAGGGCAACTGGACAAAGGGTTTAAGCACCAGATGCTAGTGTGAGGCCAGCCACCGTCCATCTCACAAGGTCCCCGGTCACACTCGACTCCTGCTGTGCCAAACAGACAAGGTGGATGTTAGGTAGAAAGTCACTCCTTCCCCCCAACGCATGTCCTCTGCCTGGCTTTCTGGCCTTCCTCTCTGTTTTCCAGTGCTTTCCAGAACTAAATTCAGGGACTGAATCGCAGGTTAGTCATCCTCTCAACGTTTCCTCCTTTTGCGATTCCAAATAGCATTTTTTCTTTGGACAACCTAGATGGCACCAGGAAGCAGATAACATGGGTTAGAAGAAGGAAGTGCAGAGTCTCAGAACCCCAGGGAGAAGACAGGCAAGTGGTTCTGCAAGAGACACGGAAGAAAAGGATTTTACTTCAGGGAAAAAGAGAAAGTGCACAAACATTAGTTGGACCAATAATGGAGACAGGTACAGAGGGATCCAAACAGCTTGTTAGCTGGTGGGTTGGTGTGGTCTAGACATGATTGGAAGAAAAATGGTCATTTCTCCCCGCTGTCACCCCCACTTCAGTGAGGAGTTTGGATAACACCCAGAGAGACTCCACTCCTAGACTGTCAGAGGCAGAGAAAGCTGTCACTAAAATAAAGTTTGGGGGTCAAATGGGTTTCATTCTTCAGCATCATCTTGTCTCCTGATGGCACAGAAAGCTAAGAGTTAATTGGCCATGAGACCGAGTAAATCTCTGACAATAGTGACATCCTTTTGCAAATGTGTTAGGACAGAAAAAGCAGGCATACTACTATATTCTCATAGATAAAATGTTCTAGTAATTTCTTAGTTCATAATGTAATGCATTGTACCCACTCCTCACTTAACGACATGGTTAGGTTCCAAAGACCAGCATTCTGTGAAATCAGATCACAAAATGCAAGATGGCTGTGTCATTACGTAACTGCCCAATGTCATCCGGGAGTAACTGCCAGGCTTGACAAGCCGACATATTCCCATCACAGCCAGCGGTACTCTCACCTCACACCTGGCACACGTTACTGCCAGCTGTAAGCCGTTAATGCACAGAATAGCTGGGTAGTAGATTTTTGACACTTGTCATAAATGCACAATGTTGGATAACGAGATAATCGATAAGTGAGGAGTAGGTGTAATATGTTGGCGTAACTCAGGAGTGTTATGGAATCTTCCTCCACCTTTCCTCTCAAGACCTTCCTGCTCCCTTTTCTTTCTGTTTTTTCTCTTTCATTTAATGTCCACTCATTCTTTGACACCAGGCTGATTGACTGGGTACCAGGTGTACCTAGGTTCTGTGTGAGAGAATGAGGATGTTGTTCCTAATGCACACTCAGTTCCTAGCCTCTTGGAGATTATAACCAGTGGGCATCAAGTTGACTTGGACCCATGGCAACCCCATGTACTTCAGAGGAGAACCAGACTTTGTAGGGGTCTCAGTGGCAGTGATTCTTTGGAAGCAGATCTCTAAGGCTTTCTTCTGCATCACTGCTGGGTAGACACGAACCTCCAACATGTTAGTTAGCACCATTTAGGGTAAACCTTGGAGTTTACAAGTTGTTGATTAATCTTCCATTTCATTTTAAAAATGAAAATTCTTATAAAGTAAGAACCTTACCTACTGGCTGGCTGTCACTGAAGTCTAAATGTTTGGTTGGGATATACTAGGAGGACTTTGAGTCTAATTCAGACCCCACATTCCATGAGGGTCTAGAAAGAGAAAAAAATTCCTCACTTAAAATCTCTATTGAACTTCACTCTCAGCATTAAAAGCTTACGATTCCTAAAGAGGTCTTCCCAATGCTGGATTTCTCAGCTTTAATTATTGCTGATACAGCCAGCACCCACAGATTTGCATGAATGAGGCCATTACACAGGAACAACTGAATTTAGCATCTCTTTCTTTTCACCAGTGGAGCTAGTTTCCTCTAGAAACTTCCAAGCTTGAGAAAGGTGATTTAAGTGGACCGGTCGGCCACAGCGCCACATCCAAATCTCAGCAAGTACTGTTCTCATCTGCTGGACAGAGGGAGACAATGAGAAACCTTCTCTAACAGGGTGCTTGTCCTTCTGAGGGAGGGGAGCCAGGTCTTCCAGAAATCCTTGAGGAAAAGTACCACCTGGTCTGACAGAGCTGGGTCCCTGCTGCTGAGGAGGACCTCGGCAGGCTGGATCCCATCCCCTCCAGAATCGAACCGTCCTTACAGAGAGAAAGGTGGGGGCCGCTAAGCAAGGGGAACAGATCAGAGCATCTGAGTGGAGGGCTGCGGAGCCAGGAAGGATGGGAAAGCGGAGTGAGGAGGTGGTCGTCACCTACCCAGCTAAATCGGCTGAGGGATAATCCTCTTCCCTGTGTGAGGGAGAGAAAGAGAGGAAGACACAGTGATGAGTGCAGGACAAAGGCCTTGGGCTGAACAAGCAACAGAACACAACAGTCTGGGGTCTGAGCACAATGACCCTGCCTCAGGAGGCCACCTGGAGCCCATAGTTCAGGGTTCCCGGGGAACACAGCTGGGTCATTTAGCACTGCAGCACAAGTTGAAGTGGACAGTCCCCGTCTACTTGAGACCCACGTGGCAGAACATTCTGGGTTAATTCAGGTAGGTGGGAGTCCACCTCTTTGGTGTGTTCAGGGACTTTGGGGAAGATTTGTAAATAAATATCCAGAGTCCTTACCTTTCCTTGTGAGGGAGGCGGTGTGCGGGGTGTCACCTGGAACGACAGATGGGGAGTGGACAGTAATGGTCTCCTCGCGAGTCTCAAGGGCACCTGCCACTTCCTGACTAGTCAGGGTTTTCTGAGTGTCTCTATCTCTCAGGTATAGGAACCACCGTCTCTGAAGCTGTCTACCTCTCAGGTATAAGGGTCACCGTGTCTGAAGGTGTGTATCTCTCAGGTGTAAGAAACACCATCTCTGAAGGGGTCTATCTCTCAGGTATAGGAACCACAGTCTCTGAAGGTATTAGGACCCCATGCCCCATGCATAGTTTCTATTTTCCCTGCAGCCCATTCAGAAGAGAATACTTACAATGTTCTTGAAAAAGTGGACTACGGGGTTCTCATCGTGGGGCCGGGACTTCTGGGGCAAGGAGCCGTAGTGGCCGGTCCTGGCAGCGTGGTGTGTGTCCTGAAAGACAGAGTTGTGCCCGGCTAGAGCCTCTCTACACCTCTTCTCCTCTGGAAGAGGGGCTCAGCCAGGAGCTGGTGGCCAGGCAGCCCTCTTTTGTCTCTGGTATGTCACTGACTGCCACCTGCCCAGTGGGTTTCCCAGCAGTAACCCAGGCCCAGCTCTCCTGGGGAGGGGGTGCATGGTGAGAAAGACAGCAGAGGCACCCAGCTTCCGGCCTGAGGGGAGACGGCACTCAGAAGCAATAGGAGAAGCCACCATGTGTCAGGAGACAAGCTTATGGCCGGCCCTGGCCAGTGTCCATGTCTCTGAGTCAGTGTCTTACGGACCATGTGAGTAGGGAGTCAGTGGAGACTGCTGGGAGTGGACGGCCCGGCTGGCTCTAGGTCAGTAAATATTGCCCCCGGCTCCTACTGACCCCACACACAAGAGAAATTAACGCTGCCTGGTCCTGTCCCAGCCTCCATTGGGTCAGACCCAATGTGCCGCTCTGGCCCGTCGGGTATTCCGAAGTCGAGTGCCAGACATTTCTCCTTAGTCAAGTTCAGTCTGGAAGACATGACATGCAGGCCTCCACATTCAGACAGGTGACTGCCCATGAGGTGCACTGGCCGGGCACACAGGCCTGAGCCACACCTCTGTCCTCACACACTGCCACCACATGGTGACCACCCACACGGAGGAAAAAGAGCCAACTCTGGAGGAAGAGAGGGTAGGTTTGCGTGTCACCGCACAGGCCCTGGAGCAGTGTGACCCAGTAAAGGACAGCATGGTGTGAAACCGCTGCCACAGGAACCCGCCCACACGGCCCTTAGCACCATTAGCATTGAGCCTGAGGGCAGGCAGGTACCTCGAGGCCTCCTGTGTGGACAGGGAGTCAGGAAACGGGTCAGGGCTGCACACAGGGTGCTCCCAGGACCCAGCTCCTCCTTCATGAGGAAGTGCTCCCCCTGCACACAGGGTGCTCCCAGGATCTAGCGTTTCCTTTAGGAGAGAGTGCTCCCCTCAGCTCTGTCAGGTGTGTTCACAGGCTCACCTGCAGGCTCGGGCCCGATTATGGTAACCCAGACAGGCTGTTGTAAGGGTCACAGGTCCAGAGCTTGTGATCTTCCCATGGAGTCCCAGCCCCCATTCCAGAGTATTTATGGTCACCCCAGTGTGGCTTTGCATGCATCAAAGCATGAGACTGTTCCCCAGTCAAAGAACGAGTGGAGAGTGAGGAATGAAAAAAACACAATGAACTTCCATCAGGAACGGCTTTAGGTGTCTGCTTATGTCTGGGCGCACACAGATGGTTACATGCTGAGTTAGAGGGTTGAGTGCACTCCTGAAAAATCATCCAGGGACAACTGTGGAGCCCAGTTTTGCTGTGACAGACGTGGGTCGCCCTGAGTGGGACCTTATTAGTGGTGGGGGTTGTCTACGAGACAGGCCCGTTCAGGTGACCCCTCTAGACTGTCCCAGACCACTGACACACTAGAAAGTTCGCCCTTCCCTGGATTTCCAGTCACAGAATGTCCTTCATCTGTCAACCACAGTTGGTGTTGGGGGCCACGGAGTCAGGTCTGACCCTCTGTGTGTCCAACAGCACAGAACACCACCTGGCCTGGGCCATCCATGGTTCCAGCCATTGTGTCAGGCCATCACGTTGAGGACCCGCCTCTGTTTTACCAAGAGAGTCATTTATGCTGTAATTAAACTAGAAAGGAAGGCTTTACGGAAGTGGGTGCTCAGTTGTACATGGACCCCTCCACGTACCAAGCCCTCCTGGGGCCATGTGGCGGCTTCCCTGGGTCATGTTACAGACACGCTGCTGATACCATCCACACGACCCGCTCTGAGTGAACACAGGAAAACCACTCATTCTGGTGGCCTTTTTATAATAATTTGCCTCTCCTAGGGCACACTGGACGAGTTCTGGTGGGGCACTGTAGGGTAAACACTGGACTGGTCTATGAGTCCAACCCACCAGCCGCTTCTCAGAAACCCTATACAGGGTCATCTACTTGATGCCACTTAACAGTAAAAACAAGGGCACCGCTGAAGAAGGGGTTGGCTGTATTTTAGCTGTCAGAGTCAGGAAGACATCCACGAAGAAGGCGGTGGCATGTCTGTGGCTCTTGGCACATGTTTGTTGCATTGGCTTCTGAGTGCATACCCTAACACAGAAGCGGGTTTAACAAACAGTACAGACAGCACTATTAGAGCCTCGCAGCATTTTGGCTCTGCCGTGTTTAGGAGCGACTGACCAGGGCATTGGTTTGGACTTTGGGGCTGTACATGATCTCTTGTGCAGAGACTTTTGTGTTATACTGTAGCTATAGATGGACTTGTGGTTGTAATTGTCATGGTCTATCATACAAGTCATTCAATCAGTCATATTTCCATACTGACAAAGAACATTTCAAACACCAAAGCTAAGAACAGTACCATTAATAATAGTACCAAATAAAGAAAACATTAAGTATGTTGTTGTTGTTTAGTGCCACCGTTCCAACTCATAGTGATGCTGTATAGGGGTTTCTGAGGAGAGGAGGCTAATGAGTTTGAACCTGTGACTTCCTGGTTCAAACCAACCTTGTGGTTGAGTGCTTAGCCTACAGTGTCACACCAGGACTCCTAAAACACATTAGGTATGCATCTAGCAAACTATGTGCAGAAACTTTACCCTAAAAATGACAAAATGTGGATAAAAGAAACCAGGGAAGACGTAAGCAAATGAAGACACACCGTGCTCATGCATTGGAAGACTCAACATAGTACAGATGTCAGTGCCTCCCAAGTTGGTCCACAGATTGAGGACAATTCCAGTCAAAATCCCAGTGAGAGTGTGGGCAGGGTCAGACACACAGACCCTACAATGTACATGAAAATGCAAAGCAGTCAGAGGAACCAAGCGGTTCTGGAAGAGGGAGAATAAAGTTGGAGGACTCACACGCCTGGACTTTAAGACTTACTGTAAAGCTACAGTAATACAACCAGTGTGCTATGGTGATGAGACAGACGCGGTGTACAGAGCAGAGGGGAGCCCAGAAATCGACCCTTGGCGTCGGCACTAAGGCATATTGACAGAGAAAGGACTGTCTTCTCACCAAGTGGACACAAAAACGCCCAAATCACAAATGAAAGTTAATTTGACCGAAATGAATTCAGAATGGGCCATAGCTCTCTGCCTACAATGTGGAAGGATGAGACTTCTAGAAGAAAATGGAAAACCCTTTATGACCTGGAGAGACCACGAGTTCTGAGACACAACACCAAAACACCATCCATAAAAACAAAGAAAAAACTGAAAAGTTGGACCGCATCAACATTTACAATGTTTGCCCCACAAAAGTCTCTGTTAAGAGAAGCAAACACAAGCTACAGACTGGGAGAAACCATTTCCACGTGACGCATCCATCAAAGGACCCGAAAACAGAATAGTTACAGGCTCTCAAAACTCAACTCGTAAGAAACGGAACCAAAATGCAAACGCATTGCTATGGAGGTCATCCCGACTCACAGTGAGCCTGTAGGACCAAGCAGAGCTGCCTCGTAGAGTTTCCAAGGCTGAAAACCCTTCTGAAAGCAGATCGCCACTTCTGTCCTGTGGGGTCAAACTGCCAGTCTTTGAGTTAGCACCTGACCACTGTAACCACCGTGCCACCAAGAAAAAACATTTAAACAGGTACTTTTCAAAGAGGACGAATGCAAGGCAAATAAAAACACAAGAAGATGCTCAACCTCAGAGAAAAGCAAATCCAAACCAGATTGAGATATGACTCCATATTCATTGAAGTGGCTAAAGAAAAAATACTGACACTACCAAGTGTTGACAAGGATATGGGATGCTGAAACATTCAGACGTTGCTGACGGAAATGCAAAATTGTACTGCCATCCTGAAACACATTTTAAAAATTTTACCAAGTTAACCACACACTTACCATGATGTTGTTGTTAAGTGCTGTTGAGTCAGTTTCGACTCATACTGACCCTGTATAGGTTTTCTGAGGAGTGGCTGGTGGGTTTGAAATGCCAACTTCACAGTTAGCAGTCTCATGCTTACCAGAGGACCCAGAAATTCCACTTTCTGCTTTGGAAGATAAAAAAGTATATAATTTTGCAGGTGATATTTATAATGAGTATGGATCACTGATATTTTGAGGAAAAAGTACTTGAAATATGAAAAAAAAAAAACCCACTTGAGTTCATACAAAACTTGTACATGAATGTGCACAACAATCTCTTTCCTAATCACTAAAAACTACAAACAACCCAAATGTTCTTCAACAGGTGACTGGATACACAGATCTACCCAGTAACCAAGGCCGCAGCCCGAGCATCTCACGTTCCTCTTTCTTGGAAACACTGAATTCTAGTGGGCGGCCAGCTTGATGGTTACCAGCGGCTAGGGATGGGGTGTGTGGGGGATGAAGGGATATCAGTGGGGAGATTTTGGGGTGATGTGTTTTTACTTGGGTGGCGTGAAACGGATTTCTCCGTTTTAAAATCCATGAAACTGAATACCCGAAGTGTCCATTTTACCGTGTATTAGTTTATAAAACGATCTAAAGACCCTTAAATACGGCCTGGCATTACGTAACAAAGTGAAGGGCCAGCAAAAGAGGCAGCAACACGGGCTGGCGCATTCCGCTGTGCACGCACGGGGTCACGGCTTGAGGGCACCCAACCACAGCCACATTCTGTAGCCAGGAGTGACTGCATGGAAATGTGCTCTATGGCTTAAGTTCCCTAACCTGAGGTGTCCTCCCTCGGAATACACTTCACGTCCCCACTTAGTTTGGAACAATGTGGAGTCCCCTGGTGGAGGAACATCACTGCGTCTTTTCAGTGAGAAGACTACTCTATCCTTTTGGAGGCCCCTAGCTACCCCGATTTCTAAGGTATCCCCCAGAGGCTCGGGCACTGTGACCCGCACGGGGGAGCTCTGGTTTGCCAAAGGGACAGCGGAACAGTGAAGCGGTGGCTCGTGGGCCGTGCAGCCGGAAGGCCAGCC